CTCCCTGGGGGTACAAGAGACAGAAGAAAGGTCACAGGCAGCTCCAGGAGCTGGGGTGTATAAAGACCTACCCACAGCAAGGGAAAGAGGAAGGGCCCCTCAGTTGGAGCTTAAATGGCAGTGGGAGGACCCTGCTCAGGTTAGTTAATTAGTTAATTAATTAAGGTTAATTAATTAAGCAGGGGCTTAATTAAGGGCCCTGCAGGGCTGCTGCCCTTTGCTACCTGAGAGCAGGTCATCTCTCTGGGAGAAATAGAGCAAAATCAGACAGTCGGTTTGGTCAAAAATCCCTGGCTTTTTGGTGTATCTTCCCTCATGTTCCTTGCATAGTTCTAGGAGAGACAGCCAGCTCCCAAGACATCTTCGTTTCCCAAAACAATCAGTGAAGAGATCTTCCAAAGTCAAGAGAGATAGTTCACTGCCCAGAATCAGGGAGGAGGGACGAGAATGAAAGGTTCTGATCTTAATTTGAAGGGTGTTGTTAAAATCCCAGCCCAGTTAGTCTACAACGTAACAAAGTACTAACACAACAAGGTGGCAGACATGAAACTGTGACATTACAAAAGAACTATGCCTTTCCCTTAGAAATATGTGCGAACAGCTGGGAGGCAGTAACTGGAGCAGAAGCTGCTGGCTCCTGACGCCCTGCAGCCTGCAGCCCCCCAGACAGCTCCAGGGAAAGGAAGGGTCTGTCCAGCATAGGATTAACCAGCTGCAATGCCAGGCTGGGTGACTTCTTGTCAGTTTGGAAAGGCCCCAGCCTTCACTCACCTCTGAAGTCCTCTGTCATTGGCTAGGGCTGGAGGCTTGGCTTTCATGCGTGAGACTTCTCTTTTCTCCTGGCACTTGTTCCAGCGAAGAGTTGCAGGAGGCTTTGTGTCTGTCCTTCAGGCACAATGAAAGAAGCAGTGTGTGTCCTTCATACATCCACACTCCTATGCATAAATCTGATTGTAGAAAAGAGGCACTAAAGTGATGTCAGGGAGATAGCTGGGCTTCTCTTTGTTTTTATCTTTCCCCTTGCTTAGTATTTTACTTGTGAGAACCCTATGGACCCAGCCATGTGCTCTCCAGTGAAATTGCAGTTCCAAACATGTCTGTGTGCTCTCACAGCAGCTCTGACACATTCAGTGCCTGATCCAGTGCTGCTGTCAGTATATATGACCCTGAGGGAACTTTCTGCTCTGCCCGAGATGTGGAAATGGATCATTATGGTTGGCTTTTTTACTCTGGCTTTGCTTTCAGAAACATCAGTTCCCAGATATGAAGGCATTATGTGGCACCCAATAAGCTGAGCGGCCCTTGGAATGGGGAAGGTGACAGGCAGGCTGGAACTAGAGTAACTGGTGCAAGCCAGGACACTGAAGCCTGTTCTAAACCCTTTTTCCAGATACGGGCTCAGGGGGGCAGTTTTGAGGGTGCAAAACCCCAGCTCATCTGACTTCAAGAAAGGAGGGCAAGTCATGGGCTGTGGGCCTCAAATGAAGACGTGTCCTTGGGCCTTAAGACCAAGAGTCATCAAACTCAGAGACTAAGACCTGTGTTTTCTGTACTTGAAAATGGAGACTAAGTCCTGAGTTTTCCAGACTTGAAAAAAGTTTCATGGAGCTGTTTTGGGGGCTCTAAAAATGAAACAAAGTCCTGTGTCTTTGGGGTTGGGAAAAGGGTTCCTGGGGCTGGGCTGTGGAGTTGGAGCAGAGACCAAGTCCTGCATGTTTGGTCTCAGAAACTGAGACTGAGTCATCTGTTTCTAAGCAGGAGGGTTGGAGGGATTGGGAAGATGTTGTGTTCCAGGCAGGCAGGAGGTGGGCAGGGTATGTAGACCTCTACCAGGGGTGGAGGTTTGGTCATATTGGTCCCCAAAGTTTGAGAGACCAGCCTACAACAGGCTGAACTCAATGTCTGAAAGAGTCTCTGGGGAAAAAGACACTTTTCATACTGTTTTTGTATGTCCAACTCTTTATTCAAGATGTGT